GACGAATAATGAAAAGGAAAATAATGAAAGCTCAAGTAACATAACAAACACGCCCTCACATTCCATTTCGCATTATAACTTGCGACAACGACCTACACCAGTGGTCACTTCTACAACTGCACTGACAATGATAAGTCTAATATGTTGCCTATTGGCTATTTGTTCAGGTCATACTATAGAAAGCAGGGACACTCAAGTTACAAAAGACAAAATAAAGGGTCTAAAGGGTATTGTGTTACGCTCAACACCGCCATCAAGTTATAAAATCTGCGCAGAACAAATCATGAAGTCTCCGCCTCAAGTTATTTTGCACGAGCACCTTTACAATTTACATTTCAAGCTCATAGGAACCAACAAGGTTGCATGCGTTAAATCTAGCAATGAGCTAGCCATGACTGAAACTTCAGATGATTGCCATAACAGCGCAGGACAAAGGGTCGCTCAAGTCACTAAAACATACTCAAGTCATTACCCATTGAAGGGATATACCAGCTCTCGGGGTACCATTTACTTGCGCGCCTCCTCAAAGAAACAAAAAATGCTTCCACGAATTCTCAAGTCTACTGATATACCCATGCACTACCTTATCGGTGTCAAGTATACGACGTCCCTCAATTTCAGGTTGCCTCTACGAGATCTCGAAGGTGGCCCGAAGTACCTAAGCCGGATGGTGGTTGAATTGAATCCGACAGCTGAAAGATTAGAAACGGACATGACAGCTACTCTCAACGAGCTCAAGAATCAAGAAATCGTGACAACATCAGTGCGCAGCGACTGGTTCCGTCTTCTCTGCAGCGCAAGTCTTCGTGAGATGGGAGCTGCTGAAAGGATTCAGCTTTTGGATCGATACCTGCTGACAGTTAGCCTCACAAAAGAGAGACTGCTTCGACTTGGGACACGCTATGTTCTGACAGATCGCATCTACGAGGACAATGCTAAAGCGAATGAGGAGCTGGCCACCAAAAGGAACGAGTGGTTGCAAATGGAGGACGCTCAAGTTCACATCAAGGAGATCATGTCTTTGGTCGAGCGGGACGTACGTCGCCTAGAAACAACCATAAAAGAGATTACGGAGTACAAGGTCGCCGCTGAAAAAGAGTTGATGTCAAACCGAAGGGAACTAGACGCAGCCGATGTCCTCACCAAGACCATGAGGGCAATGCAGGATCAACTGCAGACGATACAAGCTTTATCAGCCCAGGATGGAAGTTCGAAGGTCACTCAACAAGAAACCCCCCAGACAACTCAAGAGACTGATGACCAGTACTTCGACCGCCTACTCCGTGAATCAAGTGATGAAAATACCGGAACAGAGACCGAAGCTAAGCAGACAAAAAAGTCTTCGGAACGTACATCATCATCGACGCAGAGTGATAGCGAGCCGTGCTTGAAAAAGAAAAGAGGCACAAATGAGAAAGGACCTAATGTTCCGTCAGTCGGCTCGAATCATCGGCAGAAGGCTGGTAAAAGGTTCGAACGAAGCATAGTTAACCCTCCCGCGTCTACAGGCCGAGCTAGAGACCTACGTATGGAAATCAAGAGTATGGAGCGCACACTTGCCAGATATCCGTACCGAATGATAGTGGAGAAGTCAAAGGGAATCTCATCAAAAATTGACTGTGCTTTCTGCGGAGCCCTTGGTTGCCACTACTCCGACTCTTGCCCAGTCGTCATTAACGGTAACGAGAGACACGAAATAACGTTATTCTTGCAGCAGGTGCCCCCAATGCTTGAAGTTTTGTGGAGGGACGTGTCAAGTGGAAGAAGAATGCTGGTATTGCGAGCAAGTGCGAGGAACGCCGTTCGAAGATGTGATTCCGGAGTACAAGCATCACCGCGCCGTCTGCTCAGTACCAGATGCAAAAGAGTACCTACAGCAAAGAATGTACTATAAGAAGCAGGAGCTAGCAAATTCGGAAGGCGAAAGCTCTTCAAGTCGCTGGTGGGAATGTCGCGAAAGCGACTTCAAGTTTTTTTCTTGAATTGTTTTAATTGTTTGAATTGTTGATTTAATTTTTGTTCTTATCGATTGTATTTAGTTACGTTGGGAGCTGGGCCGGTAGCAGCCAGGATCGACTGCATTGATGATCTACAGATCTGGCGGGAAAAGAAGACGCTATAAAAGGCCAGCGAATCAATGTGAAGCATTCAGTTCTCATTCTCATTCATCCATCTATCTCTTCGTCGCTGTTTGGGCAGTATTGCCCCAAGTTAATACAAGTTCAAGTTTTGTGTCGTCTAGTTCCATCGACTCAGGCTCAAGCCCATCTCAAGTCTCAAGTTCAAGTATCGGAACTCAAGTTTCAATCGAACTGTTCAGGACGCCCAAAACAGTTATATCCGCGTGGCAAATTGAAAGGCGAGCAATTTTACTTGGGAATTCCACAACCGCGTATCTTCGACACACTCGCTCATACCAAGGAGTCATATCCTCTGAATAGTTTCTTCCACAGTGGTCCAGTTGATCCTTCCACAAAGTTCGAATCTCTCAGATTCAGATAGGAAATAAGGAAAATCCTCGACGTAACGAACGACAATTTTACAATGAGCGCTCAATGAAATGAAAACCGTAAGACTCCACAAGATGCCCTTGGCTGTAGAACATCCAGAAACCTCCCGAAACCTCCCGCAACATCAGAGTCTACGATTCACTAAGGGTAGCATCGCCGCTGACCGCCTATCGCCGTTCCTCTACCCACTACCCATAGTACACTTAGCATACTTAATTCAAGTAACACGCCACTGTCGGGGAGATAACGATACAATCTCTACGTCGACAACTCTTGCTGACGCGGACACGAAGCATCGATCTTATAACAAGTATACCTTCCACCGAAAAAAATTCAACGATTTGAGCTATGAAACCTCAAGATTTGTCCCATGATCAAAAATTAATGCCATGTAATGGACAAAACCAGGACTCGCTCATCGACCCTCAGGCCAAAAACTTGGAATACCGAATGAACTCATTCAATTCGATCAATTTCAATACCAACTTCTCTCCCCTCAAAACGCGATAAACAAAAACTGACTCTCCGAACACACACCAAACAACAGTAGCTCGAGCTGTGGCGTCGATATACGATCCCCTAGGGTGATCCCACTGACTCACAGAGCGAAACGATTCCTTCCAGTCATTATGGAAAGAAGGTTACGGATGGGATAGCACACTCTCAGCGAGTCATACACAACAATGGAAGAGGATCATCGAGGACATCACACGGATTCGAAGAAAATGATCCCACGAGTCGTTGCAACAAGCTCAAGTAATCAAGTTATTGTGACGTTTGCTGATGCCAGCTCGGAGTCAATGGCTGCATGCGTGTACCTGTGCAATCCGCATCAACTCATCTGCCTAATAGCCACGTGAACGGCTTCCATCGTTAAGAAGGAATGCAGATTATCGAGTGCGGATAGACACATTGCTCAAAAAATGGAGAGCTCAAACCTATCAGCTTACACGCGATTGACTGAAACCGGTACTCAGGGAACTCCGCACAGCGATACACAGATCAAATACATCTACATCTTCTCCGATACGGAAATTGTACTGAGTTGGATGAAGAATCCTCCCATAGCCGAAAAAAGTGTCATGGTCACCAACAGGCTCAAAGAAATCGACAAGAATAATAGAGCACCTGCAATCGCTCAAGTATGAAGTATATTTCGAACATGTAGACTCAGTGCAGAATCCAGCTGACTGCGCCACAAGAGGGCTGAGAAAGGATGAGCTTACAAATCATCTCTGGTGGAAAGGACCTACCTTTTTGGAAGAGATGGAAAGTAGCTGGAAGAAGAAGAGCACGACGTTCAAAATTAAACCGAAGGAAGAAGATCAAAAGCAAAACGTATTCCTGACAGCAGAGGCGCAATCGAAGGAAAACAAACATTGAAAACTACTTGGTGACGCCAAACAAGCTGCAACATTAACCCGAAGCAAAACGGATCCTTGCCTACGCTCTCCGTTTTATCAGAGCGATTATTTATAAAATACACCAGCCACACCAGAGTCCAACTAACACATGGTGATTCTAGCACCATTGGATATCACGAATTCCCCTGCAGAAGCAGCCCCCCAGAAAGGTAATGAAAAAAAGTATGCTGGATAAATCCATATCGCACATCACAGGGTGCATCTAGGCGCTGACTAAGGGCAAAAACACGAGGGAGGAACCGAAATAAATCACAATCAGCAATCCTCCAAAAAAGTCGCTAATATTGAATACATACAGAAAGCCACAGGAGAGATATCCTACGATGTTACGGCAGATTAGGCGCAAGCGCCTTAGAAACCTCAGCCAAGTATCCAATTTTTATACTACAGAAATCATTTCTCGCAAAACTCATTATTAGTGAGTACCACCAAGAATCGCATCCAGGTGTTAACCACACCATAGCACTGATTCGTCAAAAATTTTGGATACCACAGTTGCGTTCTCAAGTCACCAAACAAGTGAGAGCGTGTAGCTAAAGTGCAACGTCCAAACTAACCCACCCATCCACGAGGTCCGGACAAACGCATCTGCCTGCAAAGTAGACCATTTGAACACATTGGGTTAGACTATTTCGGACCTCTTCAAGTAAGCACCATGACTGGAGAACGAAGCAAATGCTATGGCTGCATAATCACTTGCATGGTCACCCGCTTGATTCACTTAGACATCGTGCAAGATTCATCTACCGGTATCCTCTCTTAAACCATGCCCAGAGCGTTGTCACGATTCGGTTTGAAGAGGAATTCCTGCCTCCATAACATGTGATAATGCTCCAACGTTTCTCCTTGGTGAAGATATCCTACGGGAACAAACAGAAGCAGCTCAAGTTGATCGGCCATAGCACGAGTATTGAGCAACAAAGAGATAAAATGGAAACACATTACATTCCCCTACGCGCCGTGGCAGGGTGGAGTCTACGAAAGGCTTATCAAGTCTGTAAAATCCACTCTCAATAAAACGCTCGGAAGAGCTATACCATCCTTCGAAGAAATGAGCACGATCATCATCGAAGTCGAAGCTTTTCTCAATACTCGTCCACTTCTATACGCCGACGCGAGTATGGAGCCCGAAAGTATTCTGAGACCGATTGATTTCCTGCAGAATCATATGAATATTCATTTTCCTTTCGAAGCAAAGCAAGATGAAACGGAGGACAGTTTCTATGTATCGTCAAAAGATCCCATCTCTAAAAACAAAACAACAAACCATTCGAGCGCTGCAAAGTTCGGTGAAACTAACGGAAAGAGCTTGGAAAATATGGCAAACCCAGTACTTGACAGCTCTCCGTGAGCGGCACCAAGTGAATCTGAAAACGACGAAAGGAGGTGTGATTATACCCCATGAAGGAAACCTTGTTCGTATAACTTCGCGAACTCAGTTCACCGCCCTCGTGAAGGTCAGTCGTATTGCAACCAGTTATGCCCAACGGCCCAAGCAATATTCGAGAAGCATTAATGTCCTCTTCCCGATGGCGCATCTCGGCGACTAACAACGTACTCCAACCAAACTTGCTGATCCCCTTGGAGCTCGAAGAACTACGAATAATGAAAGAAAATGCATCGACAATACGACAAAGAGCTCAGGTCAGAATTGTGAATTGATCATTCAAGTTTTATTGAATTTTCAAGTTCGCAAGTTTTCAAGTAATTTTCAAGTTTCAAGTACATAATAAGAAACTCAAGTAAAAAATTTTTCGATAAACTCTCATTAGTGAAACTTCAAGCTAATTGAGCGCAAATCCTGGGTCGAGTTTGATTCACCAATAGGCAATCCCTGGGGAAATTTTTTGATCAAGTCAGAAACATCACCAATCAAGTGCTTGAGTAGTAGGTGATCAGGCCGCATTTTTTGATCAAGTCGGAATCATCAACTGACAAATTTTCAAGTAGTAGGTGATCAAGCAAAAAAAAATTCCGCAACTCTAAGGCGAGAATCAATCAATAATGAACGCGCGCATAAGCACTGCTAAGCGGCTCCTCACCCGTTATGGCAAAAAACTAGAACAAGTGGTACAGAAATACAAAGAAGAAGGATTGGAATCATTACATGCTGAATTGAGCGGCGATCAGAAGATTAACAGAGGGAACCTAAGACAACTGGAGGAAGCTGTAGGAGCTATTGACTCCCTAGTGGGACAACTGGAGAGTTCATTATCAAGCTTCCTCACTCTACGGGACTCCTCACCTCCATCTGGAACTGAGCCAGACGACACCGATACATACTCCATTCGCGCAGAAGAATGTTTAGTCACAGCTGTCGAATACAGGATGCTTCTGCAGGCCAGGATCAGAGCCATCAAATCCTGCGACAGCATGTTCCAGCCGCAAGTGACGGCACTCCAGTCTAGCTCGGAGACTCATAGTCAGGCACAGACCCCAAAAACCCGATCGGTGGAACTTCCGGCTTTGCCCATCCCCAAATTCAAGGGAAACATTTGGGACTGGGACAATTTCTGGGAATTGTTCAACGCAAATGTGCACTCACAGGAACTCCCAGAACTTTTCAAGTTTAATTATCTTCTGGATGCGCTTCAAGGAGAAGCCAAGGAATCGATTCGCAAGTTTCATGTCACGAAGGAAAATTACTTAAAAGCCATAAGCTTCCTGCATAACCGATACGGATCAGGGGAAGAGTTAATACAGAAGCTGATCAATAGACTTGGAGAACTACCAACTACGTAGCCCATCCCTGAAGGATCATCGCTCACTATTCGAGCAAATTCAAGTGATTATTCAGCAACTCAGGCAAAAAGGTGAGCAAGTAGACAGTCAATGGATGGTGAAAAAGATATTGTCGAAATTTCCTGAGGAATTTCAACGAAAGGTCCTCCTGAGGAAGCGACTGCTCCCTTCAAACCTTCAACCAATTTCGATGGAAGTCCTTTTTGATCTTATGGAAGACGTCCTTTCGGGAGAAGAGATGATCCAAGTCCATTTAGAAAAGCCATTGAAGACCGTACAATCCGGATTGGGCGCACAAAGAACAGCACCATCCAGCAAAAAGCGTACACTGCCATGCATGTATTGCAAGGGAGACCACAAACCAGCAGCATGCAAAAAGTTCAAGACCCCACAAGAACGAGCACAGTACCTACGGGAAAGGAACTTGTGCCAACTATGCGCTTCAGAACATCATGCAACAGCGGAGTGCAGCAGACAGCCGTGCTTCTACTGTCAAGGCCCCCATCACACATCATGTTGCTTCAAACCCGGAACAAATTCAACCTCTATCTCGGTAAGATCAAGTGAAAACACCTCTCACCAACAAGCCCAACTACAACGGAGGGAACAAAGAGGTGAAAGAAAGCAAACTAGGGCTACGACCAGAGTCAACCTAGTGGCCGATAATATGTCGAATCCAGTGTTTGATGAGGTTGCAGAGCAAAGTTACAATGAAGGAGCAGTCTTAAGCGTACAACCTTCAGAAAAAACTTCATTGTCTCCAAAAACGTTCCTTCCCATAGGCGAACTTTCAGTAGTCGACCCAAATACAAAGAGTCTCCGGAAGATTCAAGTACTTATCGACACGGGAGCTGAAATGTCGTTCATTGAAACTGTTTTGGCTCACGAACTGAGACTGCCCGTATCAGAAGAAAAGCAATTATGTTACTACACGTTCGGATCCAAACAAGTGCAGAAAAAACAGTCGAGTAGAGTGCAGCTACCAGCTTGGGACAATGACGGACAACTTCACATATTGGATCTGCTGACAAGTGATATATTCACGAAAGAATTTTCCGTTCCACCTCTGACAGCAGAAGACAGTGAAACTCTTCGGTTGCGACATATGCAGCTTCCATCAATGTCTTCCTCGAAAATACAGCAAGTTGAGCCGAGTA